TTCCTCTGCAATATCATTATTTCCCTTTCCAGTCCTTTACATTAAATGGATAACTGGGACCATCACCTCAACAGACAGATTTGTAAGTTCCTGTCATAAACACTATATCTGAATCCCATAATAATATGATTGGAGCTGTTATTGGAAATATTATTTGATTCCACAAGGATCAGCAGGAAGACATTGTCAACCCTGAAGCTGACCTGACCAAAGCCATTTTGAGGCTTCAGTGTTGCCACACTGGAGCTGAGGGATAGGGATGTGGGAAATAGAGATAGCTGGGCTTTTGTAGCCAAAACAAAATACTTTCTTCTGGGAACCAAGGACATTTCCACAGGTGGCCAGAGAGAGGAGGAGTAAAGTTACCAGGCAACCAGATGGCACCTTGATTGGATTATGTGACTGGTTGTTTGGGAAAAGGGGAAAATTTTTACTTTTAAATAGGTGAAAACCATGGGAACCTTCAGTTTTCACCAGGCCGTGCCAATATGATATGTCCAATAAACCAGTTCTTTGAGGAACTTGCTTGCCTCAGATTCCTGTTTGTTGATGGCGTATTATTTATTTATTTATTTATTTATTTATTTATTTATTTATTTATTTATTTATTTATTTATTTATTTATTATTGAATTTCTATACCGCCCTTCTCCCTGAGGACTCAGGGTGGTGTACAGCCAGAATTAGAAAACATGCAGGACAAATATTAAAAAACAATTAAAAGATATATAAATTTGGCCCAATTAAAACTCACTACCCATTAAAACATTTAAAACATTTAAAAAACATTTAAAAATTTCTTCTTAAGCCAGCCCGGCTTGCTTGAAAAAATGGGTTTTAAGGGCACGACGGAAGGCACTGAGGTCTTGGATTCTCCTTATCTCTGGGGGGAGTTGATTCCAGAGGGTAGGTGCCCCCACAGAGAAGGCCCTCCCCCTGGGGGTCACCAGCCTACACTGTTTGGCTGATGGCACCCCGAGGAGGCCCTCTCTGTGGGAGCGCACGGGTCGATGGGAGGTCGTCGGTAGCAGCAGGCGGTCTTGAAGATAGCTAGGCCCTATGCCATGGAGCGCTTTGAAGGTGATAACCAGCACCTTGTAGCGCACCCGGAAGACCACCGGGAGCCAGTGCAGCTCGCGCAGGAGCGGTGTTACATGGGAGCTCCATGCTGCTCCCGTCACTACCCGCGCTGCTGCGTTCTGGACCAGCTGGAGCCTCCGGGTGCTCCTCAAGGGGAGCCCCATGTAGAGAGCATTGCAGTAGTCAAGGCGAGAGGTGACGAGGGCGTGAGTGACTGTGCACAGGGAATCCCGATCAAGAAAGGGCCGCAACTGGCAAATCAGGCGAACCTGACAAAAGGTCCCCTTGGTTACAGCCGTCAGATGTTCCTCCAAGGACAGCTGCATATCCAGGAGGACTCCCAGATTGCAAGCCCTCTCTGAAGGGGCCAACGACTCGCCCCCAATAGTCAGTGATGTATTACTTGGAACCCTGATAGACATAACAGTGGATTTTGTTTTATCATAACATTAATCCATGTTCCCATAACACAACACCCTTCACAAGCTGATGGAATCAACCGGGCTGCCCTGGGTGCTCTCTGAGCTCGGTTGTTTTCTTGCAGACATTTCATTATCCAAACTAGGTAACATCATTAGTGCTAGCTGGCACATGTTATTTCTGTTTTCATGGAGATGAATCGCCAAGTTCCACAATTCTTCTCTTTGTCATCTTGAAGGCTACTACAAATGCCTGCCATTTGTTTTCAGGCAGGAGCATAAACATTCATTTTATTAGGAATTCTAGATGGCCTACACAGGTTTCTCTTTATCTAAACAACCATAGGTCTCCCCAGCTAGAGTCCAATAACAGTAGTTGGATTGACAGGTTCATCAAAAATCACCCTATGAGTTTCCATGGCTGAAGGTGGACTTGAGCCTTGGTAATTCCAGTCACTTCATTGTTATTTCATTTCTTAATGAAAGCTCCATTGGTGGGGGAAAATGTCAATTTGTTATTATTTTCTCAGGCAAGGATGTTAGCCAAGTATAAACTCTAGATTTAGAGGAAAATCCCACCAACAACGTTAACTGGTAAATTCTTGTCAGTCCTTCCTGTCTACTTCTTCAGGCTGCTCATTCCTTGAAAATTCTTTTTGTTAGGTTATATTTATTTATTTATTAGTTCGATTTATATGCCGCCCTTCTCCGGAGACTCAGGGCGGCTTACAATGCGTTAAGCAATAGCCTTCATACTTTTGTATATACCTGCTTAGTAGGGCTTTTGGCCCCCCCTAAGCGGTGTTCTTTTTTTATACAAAGTCAGCTTATTGCCCCCACAATCCGGCTCCTTATTTTACGTACATCAGAAGGATGGAAGGCTGAGTCAACCTTGAGCCTGGTGAGATTTGAACTTGCAGTAATTGCAGGCAGCTGGCAGCTAAGTGCTACTTTAACAGCATTTTAGTCTGCTGCGCCACCAAGGCTCTTTTGAGAAAAAAGCTACACAAAGAACATCTGCTGAATTTTTTAAAAAGGATTATATACTGAAATCAAAGACAGTGCCAGATAGGTCGGCTATTTCTCCAGACAAAGGGCATTTCAGAGGAACTTTGAAGTATGAGTGAGTTCTCCCAACTAGAGGGGTTAACATCTTGTTGACCAACAACAGAGAGAAAAGCACTTCTATAGAAAGGTGAATCAGCCTATACTTACCTATGGTAGCAATTTCTATTGAAGTATTGGTCTTTCTTTGGTTAGGGTTTGTCTTGCTTTCAGCTTCTATAAATGGATTTGATTTGACAATATTTACAAATACAAGAAGATTTTTTAAAAAAAAAAACTTAGACACCCAGACAGTCATTAAGGTAGAGAACCGGTTGTTAAATTATTTGAATCCCACCACTGCATAGAGGCCTATTCATATGGATTCTTTCATCTTCACTCTTATAAAGCCATGATGTCTATTTCCCTGAAGGCAGAAAGAGAAGGAAAACTAGGAGATGGGCCTTCTCTGTTGTAGCCCCTTCTTCATAGAATATCCTCCACTCGGAAATAATCTTGGCCTTTCATTAGGCTTTTAAAATTTGGCTATGTACACCTGGGGTTCACAATGTGTTAAGAGCCCCATTTTTTTTTTTTAGCTTTATTGATAGTTGGTTATTTTTGTATGTTTTTATTGTTTTATTGTTTGTAACTATTAAAACTGTTTTATAGTTTCAAAATTCTAAGTTATCCAGAGTCATTTGGCTGAGATGAGCAGCTATAATAAATTAAATAAATAGACTACTATGGAGATTCTCAGTCATCCAGGTCACAGCTGTCCCAAAGGTGCTTTTTCCAAGAGGCAACTGGACTTTCTGGTTTTTCTTTTGAAGACATTTTGCTTCTCCTCCAAGAAGCTTCTTCAGCTCTGGCTGGATGATTTCTATAAATAAATAATCAAATACATAAAATATCAACTTGTCAACCCAAGTGAAAATTTCCACTCTTCAAATTAGCACCAACTGTCATAGCCAAAGGATTCTCAAAGGCTGCAGTTTATTTCCTTTTAAATATCCCCATCCCCATTTCTGATCAATTATGCTGCTTGGGAGCCCCTCAGCCTACAAAGATAAATATGACTGTAATAAATGCATTCTACATTACAAACTTCAGTCTTACAACTGTGACTGTTTTCTCAAATATTGTCCCTCTTCGATTGCTTAGTTGTGAAAATCAATTTATTTCACAATACTTTGGGAAGTGTTTGTTTTAACACCTTGTTTTCCTTTACAATGTTGTTCTTTTTTTATTTTTATTGATTATGTTGCTTCTGAAGCATGATGTTACTGTAGCCCAAGCTATTTGTGATATGCTTTCATCTTCAGGCATTTTGCATTTTGCATGTCATTAGTTGTGAAATTGGGAAGACATAAGAATGGCTAAGACATTCTGGGTTATATCCTAATTTTGAATTCTTAGGAATAGAACCATAACTGTTTTTAAGGTGGAACATTTGTATGATAAGGGCAGTCCTTGACTTACAAACATTTGTTTAGCAACCGTTCAATGTTACAATGGCACTGGGAAAAAAAAGTAACTTACAACCAGTCCTTGTACTTACAGCATCCTCATGGTCATGTGATTAAAAATCAAGTGTTTGGCAACCCACATGTATTTACAAGGATAGCAGTGTCCAGAAGTCATGTGATTTACCTTTCCCAGCCAGCTTCCAACAAGCGCAATGGAAGAAGCCAATGGATTTATTGACAACTGAGTGATTCATTTAATGGCAAAAGAGGCCATAAAACTGGGCAAAATAAACTCACTTAACAATCGCCTTGCTTAGCAAAGGAAATGTTGGTCCCAATTATGGTTGTAAGACAAGGACTACCTGTATTTACCTGTAAATATCTTGCCAAAGTCCAATCTGGTTAAATACACTGACAGAAATGTTGGGTTATGACATTTATATTCCCATTTTTTTCTTAAAAGAAACTGTGATTTCATTATCCCAAATGTAAAATTGGCTAATAATTTTATGATAAACAACAAAGGTAACACAAGAGTGGGTAAGCTAATGAATGCTTAAAGGGTTACCATATCTGCACTGTGGAATCCAGAAATCTACTAAATGGCAACCCAACATACAAATTTGTATTTCCTGGTTGTCATCTAATATTCAGTTTTTCGCAGCACAGCTGTGATAGCCCTGCTAAAAAGAATTATTAATCAGAAAAGTGAGTTAGAAAAAAAGAGGAGGATATTTATATAAAGGCTAATCTATAGATTTGTAAAAAAATATATGAAATGTTGATGCATTTAAAGGAAAGGTTTTATGGCTAGTTGTTTTTTTAATCTCTTTCTCTCTCTTTCCCTGTGTTTATCCTAGCCACAGTTGATTTATCTAGCCCTGTGTTTTCTGAAATGTTAGTTGTACCTATGACAGTGCTTCACTCCCACCCTGCGACCCCTACACCATCTGTTTGCCTGATAAATTCCTCTCCTTCCCCTTCTTTAGCTATCCCAAGTTCCAGGATCCTTCCCTCTGCTCCCCGAGACGTGGTCCCTGTCTTGGTCTCCAGCCGATTTGTCCGTCTCAGCTGGCGCCCACCTGCAGAGGCCAAAGGGAACATTCAGACTTATGCAGTCTATTTTTCCAGAGACAGCATCAAGAGGTAGGTCTGGATCATGCTGGATACCTCTAAAGACACAGGAGGACTTCTTCTTCACCAAGTAAACACAAATTCTGAGATCTGCATGAATCATATAAAGTGATTTACCTAGTGATTGATGCAAGAGATAGATGATAGATAGATAGATAGATAGATAGATAGATAGATAGATAGATAGATAGACAGACAGACAGACAGACAGACAGACAAGGGAGGGAGGGAGAGATGATTAGATAGATAGATAGATAGATAGATAGATAGATAGATAGATAGGCAGGCAGGCAGGCAGGCAGGCAGGCAGGCAGGCAGGCAGACAGACAGACAAGGTAGGCAGAGAATGAGAGAGAAAGTGATGGATGAAGTACAGAGGGAGGGAGGGATAGATAGGTAGGTAGGCAGGCTGGATGGATGAGGTGCAGAGGGAGGGAGGGAGGGATGGAGAGATGGATGGATGGATGGATGGGTAGGTAGGCAGGCAGGCAGGCAGGCAGGCAGACAGACAGACAGACAGACAGATAAGGGAGGGAGGGAATGAGAGAGAGAGAGAGAGATGGATGGATGAGGTCCAGAGGAGAGAGAGAGGGAGGGAGGGAGGGAGAGATGGATGGATAGATAGATGGATAGATAGGTAGGCAGGCAGGCAGGCAGGCAGGCAGGCAGGCAGGCAGACAGACAGACAGACAGACAGACAGACAGACAGACAAGTTAGGGAGGGAATGAGAGAGAGAGAGAGAGAGAGAGAGAGAGAGAGAGAGATGGATGAGGTCCAGAGGGAGGGAGGGAGAGATGGATGGATGGATGGATGGATAGATAGATAGATAGATTGAATGTTTATGTATGTATATATTCTGTTTCAACTGCTCTAGAAAAGATTTTCCTTTTCTGCTTTATTTTTAATCATACCTTTCATTTAGTTAGCATATGGTCACTGTGTGTGTTTGTGTATGTGAAATGAACCAGGAACAAAATATAAAATATGATATAAGAATGCTAAATTATGGGAGACGATGGAATTAGGAACAAAAACCATCCAGTGATAGTTCAAAAAAGATAAACGGATCTTTAACAAATACTTAAAAGATGAAAAAAAATAGGTGCTACACACACTTGAGGGGAGAGAATATTTCAGAAGGTATGTCCCATTCTGGTAAATCCAGAGTGAAGTCCAGTTGGTGCTCTGTGATTCTTAAAGACTTGCAGTAAGACTTCCCCAAACAATGTGTAATTAGCAGGTTTGCAAAGGTGAAGATTTCAGGGCCTTCTATGTCATAATCAACATCTTGAAGTCAGGAAGATTAATTATCTTTTCTTGGGTCAAATGAAATATGTGAATATATTCATAAGGTGTATACAGTTTTTTTGGGGAACAAAAGGATGGTTGTGTAGTAGGTTGCTAGGAAATAGCAGGAGGGGAAGAGATTAATGGAATTGATACTTACTCACCTTAGATAAAGTTATCAGCACTGCAAATGATCTAAACATGGCAATATTAGCATCAGATGCCAAGGA